CTGTCTGACTCCCCAGGGCGCGATCTGGGTCCTCAGGGCCACTGTGCTCCATGGACTTGTCCTTTGAAAAAAGACCAAGATTTTGCAAAAAGAAAAGTGTTGGAAACGAACAGGGGAGGGTAGGTCGGAGTGGACAACACTGGCCCTCTGAGCCATGGATGGTGGGCATGCCTACACCCTAGAGCCTGCTGAGGGTTCAAGAACCACCCCCACAGCGAGGCCACACGGAGGCTCCTGGGATACCCGGGGTCACATCTACCCCACACGCCCCAGCTTCCCGGAGGTTCACAATGCAAACACCCTTAGCTTAGGGCCCATGGGGTCTGAACCCTTTGCTGAAGTTCCACAGAAGACAGACCCGGAAAAGAGGGTCTAACAATCACAATTAAAAATGGACCACTTAATAGTTGAACTCTTATAACCAAAGTCTTGAGGAATGTTGAGACCTACCCGCCTCCTTCCTTGGGCAATTGGAAAGATGTGTAGGCCATGCCCAGAGCCATAGTGGGGCAACCACATCCTGGGGTATGCCATTAAGAAAGACTACCCATTAAAAACTCGCCTCCTTCCTTGGGCAATTGGAAAGATGTGTAGGCCATGCCCAGAGCCATAGTGGGGCAACCACATCCTGGGGTATGCCATTAAGAAAGACCACCCATTAAAAACTCAGTATTTTTGCTTCCTTATCAGATATTTTACAGGTCAGACTGATTCACCTAGTGCCCTAGGTGCAACTTTCCAAGGGACAAACCTACTGAGTCAAAGGAGAGTTACCAATTCCTGGGAGTCTGAATTAGGGTCCCAAAGACCCAACCATGCGCGACATCCCAGAGTAAATTTTTGTTCTGTCTGTTCCTACCAGAGGCCTGTGCTGTGGAATCCATCTTCAAGATATGCTGTGTACACACCCAATTTGCATGGCTCCCCCTAAATGGTACATTTCCCAGAAATCCCCGCCTATCCCTATGAATAAACATGATGTCTTTTCTCTACTCCAAACCTTTGAAATCCCAGCAAAGCCTTTGTTCTGGGCTTTGTGTGGCGCTGTAGGATAAGCACTGGACTGCAAGATCAGTTTGAACTGCAAAGTCAGCATTTAAACTCACCAACCACACCTCGAAAACCTTATATATGGTTCCTATGAGTCAGAATCAACTCAATGGCACTTAACAACAACAAAGCCTTTCTTCCCAGAGGCTGGGGTTAAGTGTTGCATTAAACCCTCTACTTGCAAGCCTCTTTCCTTTGATAAACTTTTGCTCCTATGGAAACCGCCTCACCTGACTATTGTTAATTAGCAGAAGGGCAGAGCCCTCTCTTGAAGGCTGAAGATGCAGTTAGCATGCCCTGTTACAGGGGTTGCCTTGACAAAGTCGCCCACCCCAGAGCTGGGTCTCCCCAGTACACCTGATATGGACAGGGTGGCCAAGGACAGGTGGCTAGGCTAAGCAGCATGTATAGACAGCATCCTGCCCACCCACTCTGCTGAGGCCTCCATACTTAGTGTAGCTAACTAAGTCCAGTGGCCCCTCCTCTCCCCTGCCACGCCCCCTCCCCCTTGCCCTCCTCATTCTGACTCACCCCCACCATCCACCTCTCCAGTCAGATCTTTCTGGTCTCCCACCTAGTTCCTTGGACATCTCAGTGCCCACAGTCCAAATCTCTTCTTCCATCCCTGGCTTCTCAGTGGTTACAGAGATTTCCACCCGACCTGGACGTCCTCAGCACCTCCACCTGGGCCACCCACCCAGGACTGACTGAGCTCCCAGTTAATGACCCATGTGCTCCCAGCAAGTTAGGCCCTAGGCCTACATGCCATCCCAGGTCCTTCTGGTTCACTGTTACTTCCCTAACCTCCCAACATCCCCTTGACCACTCCTCCGCCCTCTGGCTTCCTCCAGCCCCCTCCAAGTCCTCTTCCACATACTGCCAGGCAAACCCTAACCAATTACTGCTGTCAAGTTGATTCCAACTCACAGTGATCCTACATCGGGTTTCCGAGACTGTAAATCCTGAAGGGATCAGACAGCCTCATCTTTCTTCCAAGGAGCAGCTGGTGGAATTGAACCACCGACTTAGTGATGTGCAGTCCAGTGCTTATCCTGTTGTTACTGCCAGAGAGCTCTTGAAATGGCCTTCCTCTGTTTATGAGACTTGGGCTTCCCAGGGCTTGGGGGCTGCCTAGACTCCTGGCCACCATGTGACCCTCAGCTCCCAGCCAAGCAGGGCTCTCCTGATGAACGGCACTGTCCCACGTCCCCAGGAGCCACTGCTGGGGACAGTGCTTCCTGCTCCGTCACACTCACCTTAACCTGCTGACCACAGTCCACCTCTTCCCACACCAAGCCCCCCTTATGTGCTCAGTGTCCACAGCCCCAAGGAGGTCCCAGCCTTCCAGTGTCTCAGTGGTCACAGACACCAGCAGAACCCTGGGGTCTTCTTGAGTCTCATCACATAGCTGGGTCACACTAGCAGTAGGCATACGGCTGCCCACACACAGAGACAGAGACAGGGCAGGGAGTCAGAGCACGTCCTTCGCAGCCAGCACTGAACCGGTCCACTTTCAGCACACCTAGTCTGAAAGTATGGAATCTTGGTGGTGTATGCAGTCTACGTGCTCTGCTGCTAGCCGAAAGGTCAGCAGTTCAAATCTACCAGTCACTCTGAGGGAGAAAGATGAGGCTTTCTGCCCCTGTATAAAGATTTACCACCTCAGAAACCCTGTACAGGGTCGCTATGAATCCGAACTGACTCCACGGCACTGAACCACCATCAGTCTCCTAGCCAAAAGGCCAGGAGCTTGATTGGGCCCCCTCTGAGGAAGTTCGGTTCTGTCCCAAGCGGTTGCTATAAGTCAGAATCAACTAGATAGCAGGAGCTTGGGTTTGGGGTGTTCTGTATGTGTCCGGCTCTAAAAACAGGCACACAGCAGGACTTGGACCCGGATGGATGGAAGCCCCCGATCTGGCCCCCTGTCCCACCCACCACCACACAACCACTTGCTTCTAAAGGAAAAGAACGCAATTCCAAATCTGGCACTTGGTTCCTCTAACCAGCTTACAAACTGCGAGAGATTCTGAAGAGCAGAGGGGGAAATTTGTGCAGTTTGTTTGATGAACTGTCCACCCCCACACCTGAATGTGCTGATGTTGTTAAGTAATGTCGTTCCAACTCATAGCCACTGTGGGGGGGGTTTCCGAGGAGCGGCTGGTGAGTTTGAACCACCGACCTTGAGGTCAAGTGCTTATCCTATGGGTGCCACACCAGGACCCCATACCTGCCTGTAGTGCCTGAGAATTCAGAGGCACATGGCTCTTGCCCGGAAGCCCAGGTTTCCTCATCTGCACCACAGCTTTGTTGGGGAGCTGGAGGGGATCAGACAGCTGAGGGCTCAGCACTGTACACAGTGCATAGTCAGGACAAGGTAATAGACTGTAGGCGCCTGCCGCCAACATCATGATCCCCAGCTTGTCAAGCCAGCATCCCCCCTGCCCGTGGCTGTAGGGAGACACGAGATTCTGGGTCCAGCTCTGTCCTATCCACTATCACCAAGTCAAGCCTCACTCCTAGTGACCCCACAGGCCAGAGGAGAATTGCTCCTTTGGGTTTCCTAGCTGGAAATCTTGCCCGGAGTAGACGGCCTCATTTTTCACCCTCGGAGAGGCTGGTGGTTTAGAACTGCTGACCTTGTGGTGAGCAGACAATGCTTCGACCACAGTGCCACCAGGGCGCCATTAGCTCCGTCTACCGCTAATTAGGAGATGTTGGCCAAATCCTCCAGGAAGCACGGATTCCGGTGGCTACGGGGCAGGTCTTGGTGGAGATAGACGACAATGTGTGTGCAGTACCGCCTCGTTAGAGCAATTGACACTATGCCCACTCGGCCCCTGGCTCAAGGGGGCCCGCCGGTCACCAGGGCCACACGGTGCCACTCACCTTGCCCCCGTCGGCGCCGCTCTCGCTACCCGCTCTTGCCCGCTTCCGGCGCACGTAGAAAAGCATGTCATCGTGTTGCGGAGCCCACTTCTCCATGAAGTAGGTGGAAAACATCCAGGTCCAGAAGGCGATACGGTCATCCTTGAAGCACCCTGCGGGGGGAGGCCAGAGGCGCGTGAGAAGGGACCTGCCCCTCTGGTCTGACACCTGCAGGGGCTCGCTGATGTCCTTCTCCCCACCCCCACCCCGCCCGGGGGCCCCCCGCTTCCTCCTCCCGAGCGAGCGCCCTGCTTCCCTGCCGCCTGCGGATGAATCAGCAGCTTGGGAGCAGAGGAGAGAGCTGGCAGCGAGTGCGTCACCGGCTGGCTGGGCGGGAAGGCTCTGCAGCCCAGATCCTGCGGGCTCCGTCCTCCGCCAGCATCCCTCCCCGCCCCCTAGGCTGCGGCAATTCCGGGAGGAGAATCCGATTTAAAGGCGCAGCCTCGGGAACCCCGAGGCGGGGAGGGGGTACTCCACACGCCTGACTTCCCGCCCCCAAGAGTATTCCTACATCACCAACAGCATCGCCTCGTGGGCTCTCAAACCCACCACCCAACCCAGGGCTCCTGCCTTCCTCGAGTGACCTTGTTCTGTCAATGAAAGCATAGTGGAGGTGGTACTAAGGAGTCCTGGTGGCGCTGAGGGTTAAATATTGGGCTGCTAACCCCGAGCTCTGAGAGGAGCTCTGGTAGCGTAGTGGTTACGAATCGGGCTGCGAACCTTAAGGTCAGCGGTTCGAAACTACCAGCTGCTCCGCACTTAACAACAACAACAACAACCTCGAGCTCTGGTAGCGTAGTGGTTACGAATTGGGCTGCGAACCTTAAGGTCAGCGGTTCGAAACTACCAGCTGCTCCGCACTTAACAACAACAACAACAACCTCGAGCTCTGGTAGCGTAGTGGTTACGAATCGGGCTGCGAACCTTAAGGTCAGCGGTTCGAAACTACCAGCTGCTCCGCGGGAGAAAGATGAGGCTTTCTACTCCCGTAAAGATTTACACCCTCGGAAACCCTGTGCAGGGTCGCTATGGGTCGGAACCGACTCGACAGCACTTAACAACAACAACCCCAAGGTGGGCGGTTCAAATCTAGCAGCCAAATCGCCAGAGAAAGATGACGACCTCAGAAACCCTAAGGAGCAGTTCTGCTACGTCCATAGGCTCGCTGTGGGTTAGGATCGACATATTGACACATGAGAACATTACAGCAATGGCATTGAACATTATCAATTCACCACATTATGCCCCATCGCAGACCTTTCAGGTAGCAGCCCACTGTTTAACTCTCTGTACCTCAGGGCTCTGTGTCCTTGTTACTGTTAAGTGCCATCAAGTTGGTTTCAATTCACAACAACCCTATAAAGATTTTCCAAGGAGTTAGTGGGTTTGAACTGCCGACCCTGCGGTTAGCAGTCTAGTGCTTATCGTACAGCGCCACACTAGGTCTCCTCTGTGCCCTTGTTGTTGTTGTTAAGTGTCGTTGAGTCGATTCTGACCCATAGTGACCCTGTATAGGGTTTCCAAGGAGCAGCTGGTGAGCTTGAACCACTGACCTTGCAGTTCAAACACAAAAGTTAAAAGACAAGAGAATTTACAAAAGAACTGGTTTGGAACTGGCCTCTTGCATCTCCAAGACTCCCTTATGCCTAAGAAACATATAACCCAAATCCTAAGGGATGTGAGAAACAACCGGGAGGCCACATCTGTTGTTTAGAAAGAGGACCCCGCATAGCAAGTACAGAAAAGTGCCAAAGGCCCAACAGATAAAGCAGGCAACACGCTAAAAAGGAAATACAACCAGTTAGCAAACTGTGAGACGACCTGAACCTCATTGTTGTTGTAAGCTGTTGAGTCAATTCCAACACATTGTGACCCTACAGGACAGAGGAGAATGGCCCCAGAAGGTTTCCCAGGCCACAATTTTAAGGAAGCCAATCACCAGGCCTTTTAACCTCTGGAGGTCTGGTGGGTCCAAACCACTAATCTTTCAGTTAGCGGAGTGCTTAACCATTGTGCCACTAGACCTCCCTATTAATCTTACTTTTTGTTAAGTGCTGTTGAGTCAGTTCCAACTCATAGTAACCCTATATAGGGTTCCTAAGGGGCAGCTGGTGGGCTTGAACCGCTGACTTGTGGTTAGCAGTCTAGCGCTCATCCTACAGAGCCACACGGGAACCCCTATTAATCTCACTAGTAATCAACAATTCAAAATGAAAGAACAACTTGACAAATTTGATATTTTAAAAAAATAAACCAAAAACTTCTGGGGTCTTAAAACTCTTGCAAGTGGCCACTCGATGTACAACAATTGGTCTCTATTTGTCTGAAGCAACAGAAAATACGCAGTGGACTGCTAACCACAAGGTCACCCAGTCACTCCTTGAAAACCCTATACAGGGGGGCAGAACCTACTCAACAGCACTTAACAACAACAAGGAATGTGTGGCTAGTTGCCTCTGTTATTGAACATTTTAATAAATAACTTCACAGAAAACGCCAGATCAAAAGGGGTAAAAGGCAGAACAGAATTTCAAATTCTCGAAGTTATTTGTCAATGGACTGTTGCATACACTTTTAAATTATCTTTAGCAAAATGTTATTTGCATGAGATATTAATGACATTGTCCGATGATTTCCACATTCCACTGGGTCACCTCTCTCTGAATGGGTATAAATATGGATCTCTTCCAATCATTTGGTCAGGTAGCTGTCTTCCAAATTTCTTGGCATCGATGAGTGAGTGCCTCCAGTGCTGTATCAAGTTTGTTGAAAAATTTGAATTTGTATTCCATCAATTCCTGGAGCCTTGTTCTTTGCCTGTTCCTTCAATGCACTTTGGACTTCTTCCTTGTCACTGGCTCTTGATCATAAACTATTTCTTGAAATGGCCGAACATCGACCACTTCTTTTTGGTGCAACAACTCTATGTTGGCCCTTCCATCTTCTTTTGATGCTTTCTGTACCATTCAATAATTTGCCCAAAGAATTCTTCAATATTTCAAGTCAAGGCTTGAATTTTTTTTTCTTCAGTTCCATCAACTTGAAAAAATGCTGAGTGTGTTCTTCCCTTTTGGTTTTCTAACTCCAGATCTTCACACACATTTCATTATATTTGACTTTGTCTTTTAGAACTGACCTTTGACATTTTCTATTCAGCTCTTTTACCTCCTCATTTACTCCATTTGCTTAAGCATCCTGTGCTGGGGAGCAAGATTCAGAGTCTCTTCTGACACATCCATTTAAGTCTTTTCTGTTTTCTTGTCTTCTTAGTGACCTTTTGCTTTCTTCCTGTATGATGTTCTTGATGTCATCCCACAACTCTTCTGGTCTTTGGTCATTAGTGTCTGGTTCATCAAATCTGTTCTTCAGATGATCACAGCCTGCCCCTGGCCTTGTTTTGGATAATGATATGGAGCTTTTCCACCACCTCTTTCCACCGATGTTGTCAATTTGACTTCTGTGTATTGCATCTGGTGAGGCCCATGTGTATAGTCATCTTTCACGTTGTTTTCAAAAGGAATTTGCAATAAACAAGTCATTGGTCTTGCAAAATTCTATCATGTGATCTCCAGCATAATTTCTATCACCAAGGCCATATTTTCCATTGACTGATCCTTCCTCTGTTTCCAACCTTTGCATTCCAATTGCCAGTAATTATTAATATATCTTGATTGCATGTTTGATCAATTGCAGACTGGAGAAGTTGGTTGTTGTTGTTGTTAGGTGCCATCGAGTCGGTATTGACTCATAGCGACCTTATGCACAGCAGAAGGAAACACTGCCTGATCCTGGGCCATCCTCACTATCGTTGCCAGGCTTGAGCCCATTGATGCTGCCACTTTGCCAATTCATCATCACTGGCTTAAATTGTTGATGTGTAAATTTAAATAATAGTGGTATTATCTGGTCTTCTTTGTTGTTGTTGTTAAGTGCCATTGAGTCAGTTCCGACCCATAGCAACCCTGTACAGGGTTTCCAAGGCTGCAAATCTTTATGGGAGCAGAAAGCTTCATCTTTTTCCCATGGAGCAGCTGGTAGTTTCGAACTGCTGACCTTAAAGTTCGCAGCCCGATTCGTAACCACTATGCTACCAGAGCTCCTTGGTCTTCTTTGTAGGCATATGGATATTGTCCTATGACATACAGAGTTGTACTTCAAGATAGGTTTTGAAATGTTCTTTTTGAATGCAATGCAATTCCTATTTTTCATTCCCAGCATAGTAAACCATGTGATTGTCAGATTTAAAATGGCCAATACCAGTCCATTTCAGCTTTCTAATGCCTAGGATGGAGTCCTGGTGTGGTGCTGTAGGATAAACTCTGGACCACAAGGTCGGTTTGAATCACAAGGTTGCCAGTTCAAACTCACCATCCGTTCCTCAGAAACCCTATACAGAGTCACTATGGGTCAGAACCAACTTGATAGCACTTAACTACAATGCCTAGGATATCGATGTTTATGAATTCCCTTTCATTTTTAACAACTTCTAATTTTCCAAGGTTCATACTTCATACATTCCATGTTCCAATTATTAATAGATGCTTACAACTGTCTTTCCTCATTTTGAGTTGTGCCCCATCAGCAAATGAAGGTCTCAAAAGCTTTATTGCATTCACATTATCATAGTCAACTCTAGTTTGAGGAGGCAGCTTTTCCCTAGTCATATTTTGTATGCCTTCCAACCCGAGAGGTTCATCTTTCAGCACTATATCTGACAATATTTTGGTCCTCTTCATTATGTTTCACTATTTAATATTCTGGTGCTGACAGTGTTCCACTGCTCTTCATAAGGCTTTTAGAAACTAAATATTCAGAAGTAGTCTGTCTTTCCTTGTCTTCATCCGGAAGTTCAGCTGAAGACTGTCCACTGTAGGTGACCCTGCTGGTATTTAAAATACAGATAGCATAGCTTCTAGAATCTCAGCAACACACAAGCCGCCACAGTACACCAAACTGGCAGACTGGACACATGTTGTAAGCATGCGTAAATCACAGGGAAATGCTGGCTGTGATCATGACCTGGAACAGTCCTTCATTTTTAGTATCTCCTATTATAAAATGATACCATTCCTTCTTATAAAGGCTCATTAAAGAGAGAGTATGAAAGAGAAAA